TAAAACAACACTAAAAGACATGCCAAGAAGCAAGAAAAAATGTCCGACGAGGTGCGCTTCATTTCCTGAGCTGGAGAAAGATCTCAATAATTGGGTTGTTGAATGTCGACAACATGGGTACATTGTCCCTAGAACTGGAATTCGTCTGCATGCTCTGCAAATGTCGAAAGACGACAAATACAAGTCAGTAAAGCCGTCAATGTTTGTCGCATCAGCGGGTTGGTGTACTCGCTTCGTGAACTGTCATGGTCTCTGTCAGCGAACAAAGATGGCGCAAAAGCTGCTGAGAGATCTGGAAGAAAAAATCAAATCTTTCCAAAAGTTTGTTATAAAATATCGAAAGGAATATGCATTTGAACTGTCACAAATAGGAAATGTGGACGAAACACCGATGACATTTGATCTCCTGAGTAACAGAACGGTAAGCGGTGTTGGTGAAAAAATAGTTTTAATTAAAACCACTGGCCATGAAAAAATGCATTTTATGGTGGGTTTTGGCAAATGGATCAAAGCTCCCTTCTGTTATTTTTAAAAGAAAAACCTTGCCTAAAAACATGAAATTTCCTGCTGGTGTCATCGTATGTGCACACGAAAAGGGATGGATGGATGAAAGTGGGACTATGGAATGGCTGGAAAAAGTGTGGAATAAGAGACCAGGAGCACTTTTCAAGAAACCTGCTATGCGCGTTAGGGACATGTTCGGGGCACAGAAGACGGATGAGGTGAAAAATGTGGCCAAAAATATGAAAACTACTTTGGCTGTAATACCTGGAGGCTTAACTTCAGTTCTACAACCGCCTGATGTCTGCCTGAACAAACCCTTTAAAGACAGGCTACGCAAAATGTGGTCTGAATGGATGTGCTCAGGCATGGCGAAGTTGACAAAAGGCGGGAATCTTACGAAGCCCAAAATCAATCTAGTCACCCAGTGGATCAAGGACACGTGGGTGTCCATTCCCTCAGAAATGATAGAGCATTTCCTAAATGATTTTTCTATCAGCAATGCACTCGACGGGTCAGAAGATGATGCCATATTTAATGATGACACAACAGAGGCTGATGATGAGAAGGAATCTGAGTCTGAAGATGACACTGCCGACATCTACGATGACAATGCAGGTGCAGCTGTGACTGAAGCAGAGTTTAATGAACTGTTTGGTGAATCAGAGACTGATTCAGACTTTGAAGGATTTTAAAACTTTTTAAAATCTTATATTGTTCTAAGTTACTGGTTTTAAATATCCATTTACTGATTTTAAATATTGACTGTAATTTTGAAGATGAATACATATTTGTTCAGTTGTTATAACAACAACAGGTTTTTCATTAGATTACATTAAAATAATTCTAGCAAAACTTTTGAGTGTTTCTTGTGACGCCAGCTTTTAAAATATAGCAGGGGTTGGCAAACTTTGGCTCCCGGCCCGTCAGGGTAAGCCGCTGGCGGTTCAGGATATTTTGTTTACTTGGAGCGTCTGCAGGCACAGAGCCCCTCAGCTCCCAGTGGCGCCACTTGCCGCAGCTCCCATTGGCTGGGAACGGCAAACCGTGGCCAGTGGGAGCTGAGGGGCTCCATGCCTCTGAACGCTCCAGGTAAACAAAACATCCAGGCCCGCTAGCTGTTTACCCTAGCGGGCCAGGAGCCAAAGTTTGCCAACCCCTGAAATATAGGGTCAGCTTATGAAAGGATCATACAGTTTTTGCTATTTTTACCTGTCCATCTTGGGGGGTTGGCTTATAAATGAACGGGCTAATGAACGAGTGTATACGGTACTCTGATTTTTCAAATTGGGCACACAAAATTTGTGGCTTCTTTTGACCTTACTCTTTCTCTGCCTCAGATCTCCATCTGTAAAATGAAGATCTCATCACCCTTCACCTTACAGGGATTTTGTGCAAATAGCTTGAAAGGACTTGGATACTATAGTGATGAGTGCAATAGAAAGCCCATGAGGAAATTAATTAATCCCTTGTTCAGAACAAGGGTTGAAAAGTGTGCAGTAAATAAGTCCTAAAGCTACACATTGCTCAATGAGGATAAAACAAAATATTGAATAGTTGCTCATTAGTTGAACGGCGTCCATCCTGTGCAGTGAATGAGTCTGGGGTTTTGTGGAAAAAATAGCATGTGATCATGTAATTAAAGACAGCATCATAATACATACATACAAGGGGCCAAATTAAGGTTCCCCCAGTAACCTTTATTCTGCAATTTCCTAACTTTTCAGTGCTTGATTTTTCCAACTTTAATCTTCTTTTAATGTAGCTCTTTGTGTGTAATAAAAAAACTACACATAGTTTATATCTACACATTTAATTTGTATATTTAGCTGTGGGACCACTTTATATACTTCATATGCTCAATATTGTCAGTGGCTGTCTGGCATGATTTCAGTTTTGTACAAGGGCAATGACTTGGTGAAAGAAAATCTTTGTGTTTGTGCACATTCCTTTTCGATCACTCAGCCTCAGTGAGTCTGTTTAATAATCTGCCTAGTAACTGGGGGTGATGCTGTGCTAGAAATATTCTTCATAACAGTGTTATGTTTGCAATTACAGTTTGTTTTTTGGGTTTTTTTTTTTAAATAATCATTTAGTGGATCTAGTTTGGTGTATAACTTAACTTAGCTGCTTGCTTTTGGTATCCTAAACCAGACTTTCTAACTCAGACGTAGAAAGGGAGAGGACAGCTTTTTCAACTAACAAAATAATGCAAACCTTTTTTTAATGAGCTCACTGTGTTATAGGGAGATTCAGCTTCTGGAAACACATGCCATTAGGCAGGAGATGCAAAATGTAGCATGTTGGTGCTATTGTGGCATGAAGAGTGCTATTCTAAAAGCTTTGTTGCTAATATAGCTGCAAATTGAGTTAAAGAACCACCCTTCTTTACCAGTCATTGCTGAAAGCCATACAAGAAAGTTTCAGCTGTGTGTTGCTTCTTAAAACTTTGTATATACTAATCTCAACTCCTCAATGCATAAAGCGGTAGGTCATTCAGTATATAAAATTTTTGAATGTGCTGCCATAAAACACAGGGCTTCAAAGAGAGCAGATTCCTCCACTTGGTTAAGTAACATTAACTCTATGTGAAATTATTTTTTTTTAAAAAAGGCATCAAATTTTTATTACTTTGCTCCTTGTGGATTTTTCCTCAGTTGTATTAAACGTATTTTTTGGGATGAGAAAGTGTGGGGAGAGTTCAATACCATTCTTGAAGTTCTTCCATTTTTGGCCATGTTTAAATCATATTTAAAGGGTTAAAACTACTTCTCTGGGCAATAAATAATTTTAACTTCTAAGGACACAGATCCTGAAGCTTTGTTGTTAATAGAAAATTTTAATGTGTGTGGATGTACTGTATATGTTTAATGCCTTTGCTACAAAAATCCTATACAATTTCCCCATTAATCAGAAATTAAATAAGACGTGACTATTCCTGGAGTCTATAACGTGCTTTAGTTCAGCTGTCTATGCTTGTAATAAAAGGTTTATGCTCCTTCAGCAACACTAATATATGCCACCTGTGGCTCATGGGTTATTAATTACATATAACTTGTAAATATTTAATCTATTGGATACAAACATCAGTCCTAAAAGAAAAATAAATTCCATCATCATTGATATTGCTTCCCAGCCTATATGGAACTGTGAGATTAAGGCATGCCAGTTTAAATACATGGGATAGCAGTAATGTAAAATGTTAAGTGAGGAGCAACTTGGCTCCTGCAAAGGACTGAAAAAGCAATAATAAACTTCAGCATTTTGTGTCTAACTTCACTAAATTAGAATAACACAAAGTGTGTGAATAATTTATAAACTGTTTGTAAAACTTTAGTGTTACTGATCACCCTACAGTACTTTCTTTCAAACGGTTAAACTGGAAACAGCAGAGGACACCAGCTGACAGCCAATTCATTTTGCTGATTCATCCATTATAGCGATGGCTTCAAGCCAGAACTGGGCTTGCAGATTAAAGGCTGACAACTGTAAAACTGCTGGAACTTGAAGGAATGTTGGTAAATTGTTGCTGTGCGAAGACAGGCAATGAAAGTGGGGTGTTTTTTTAAGTGATCCTAGTTCTGCATGTGTTGAGAGAAATCACTCCACCATAAATTAGCAGTAGTGTTTCAGTGAAATGGAGTCCTAACAGTAGAGGGCTACAATAATGGGAGTAACTGGGTGCTAATTAATAGACTGCTTGCCTCTTTAATGAATATTTAGCATAAGAGAAAATGCAACTCAACTAAAGCTGTGTTGTGCAGGAATCAGAACTAGGTTTCGTCTAAGGTTTTGTAAATGTAGTCTTTTCTTGGCAAACTTGCAAAATAAACCTGTTGGGTTAAGTAATGAGACTTAAAGGAAAAATTCCAGGAAGGCTTTTCTGCCAATGAGCAGTCTGGAAGGGATAATGACAGAAGATTTGATGGTTTCTCATTTTTTAAAAAAATCTTCAAACCAATGAACCCTTTTTGTGAGGCTCATTTTTGTGAGCAGTGCTAACAGTACAAATATTTTATCGTGCAACAGTGTGAATTAAGAGGGTACAAAACAACTTGTTTCCTTCACCAGAGGAGGATAAATGTGAATGTAGCATGTCCCACAGTACTTGGTATGGGTAAATGTAGGCTATTGTATCCATGAGTGTCATATTTAAACTTCCATCTCCTGGGAGTAAGGAGGGAAATCTCCACTCCTGCAAACTAATTTCCTTGTCCTAGATAGATGACGGCAAAATGTGGGCACCCTTACTTGGAAGTTCTCCTTTACAGTTCCATAATAGATCTATTTCTTGTGCATCCTGCATTCCTGAAGTGTTTATCATAAAATTAACAGGATCTTATTGCATTTCCTTACCACTATCAGTTGAACTTTGAATTGTGTATATTCACAGATCAAGCTGTTCACTCCACCTTCTTAAAGTAAGTTATTTCAGGGGAGGGGAGGCTGTATTTAAAGGCTGTTCTATACATAATATCCAATGCTCTTCTTCCCCATAGCTGTAAACACCAGCAGGTATGCTGAAAGTTATAGGATCCAGACCTATGCAGAATATGTTGAGAAAAAACATGAAGAGAAACAAGCAAAAAGAAAGTGGACAGAAGATAGTTGGAAGGAGATGGAGAGAAAGCGGTTAAAAACGCAATACACACCATACATTCCCCAGAGTCGGTACTACTGTGTTAACAGGTGAGAACTTTTCATAAGTAAAAATAATAATAATAAAACACATGGAAAGAAAACAACTTATCCTTAATTTCAGCAACTCTGGATGACTTCTCTTAGGATTTGGAAACTGAGGGCTAATCTACAATGGCAACATTAAAGCGCTGCCATGGCAGCGCTTTAGCATGGCTTGTGTAGTCGTTGCAGAGCGCTGGAAGAGAGCTCTCCCAGCGCTCTAAAAAACCCACCTCCACGAGGGGCGTAGCTACCGGCACTGGGAGCGCGGCTCTCAGCACTGGTGCACTGTCTACACTGGCGTTTTACAGCGCTGAAACTTGTCCTCGGGGAGTGTTTTTTTCACCCCTAAGCGAGAAATTGCAGCGCTGTAAAGTGCCAGTGTAGACAAGCCCTGAGCTGCTCCCTCTCATACTGCTATCAGTGTCTTCTGGCTGACTTTCCAAGGTGCTAGCACAGGGTAATACATACTCTCTCATTCCCTGGGAAACAGCCAACTGAACAATCATAATGAAAATTCCTTCTGTGTATCTAAAAGTGGGGAGGAAGAATGGAAAGAATTCTTTATGTGACTACCTTGATTAACCACCTATTTTTTAGGTTAGACTTTGTTTGAGTCTCTAGTGAAAATTAATTGGTTGCCATGAATTTTTGCCCTCATTAATGATCCATTGGACTGAGTCAGTTATAATCCTGGCGCAGTAAATTGCTGTCTGACTTGCGTTTGTTTGTTTGCTTTGTCTTGTCTGCTTAGAGTGAGCTTTTCAGACAAGGGGATCTCACTGAGCACTGTCTAGTGCAATTCTGAGGTCTCTAAGTGTTACTGTAATTCATATCATCTCTGATTTGTCCTTGAAAGTCTCTGCTGCACTGTTTCATAGATTCCTTCTTAAATTTATAAAAAGCTCAAGGGAGCTGCAGGCCTGACGTTTTTACTGGATGAGAGGAGGTACAAATAGGGAGCAAAACTGATCCTAAACTGCTGGGCTTTTTCTGCTTCCTTCTCCTTTTGTATGAATAATGTGGCGATCTGTAGCTTCCACGCCCCCTCCTCCTGTGAATGTGTTGGATTTTGCAGTACAGAAAACTGGCTTCTCTCTCACAGTAAGAACATCCATAAAAACAGGTTTTATGCTTACACTGTAGATGAGTGTTTATATTTAATATGAACAAAACAGGTGTTTTGGCTGCTTGTCACATTTTGATGCATGTCAGACTTGGAGTTTAAAAGTTTGTGAGGAATCTTTAGGAGAGACGGAAGAGCACAAGTGATTCTTTGGGGAGGTAGGTTAGGAGTTAATCTAGGTTTTCCAAAAAAATTGTTTCATAGTTGGGTATTCAGTATGAGGGAGCATGAATAATGAGAAAGGCATGTTACATAATCTACTATAGGACTTCTAAAGATTCTGAAGCCTCAGTTACTTAATCTTTCTGTGAAATGAATTGATCTAGGAATAGAATTTATACAGTAAAATACACTGAATTGCTGTAATCCATTTTCATACAGTTTGAACTTCCTATAGGTTAGCATAGGTAATCTGGTAATATTGGAAGAGTTCTGAGGTATTTTGATACTGCTCTGTTCACTATGGTTTAGGACTGCATTATTACAGCTGGCCGTGCCTTCCCCCCCTCCCCCCCCATTGGTGCCATAATGACTGATTTACAGTATTTTTTGTGTTTTGATCTTTAAAGGGCAGACTGTATTGCATATTCTCTTGTTACCAAAATCCATGTCCCAAATTAAAGTCCAGTGGCCTGAATAGTTGACAATGGGCTAGCTAGCAAGGAAGACTACAGATGGGACTTCATTTCATAGGTACATGCATACATTCTTTTACAGTGCAAAATGGCACATTCACTTCACAATGTACGCTAAACACAACACATGGGAGTCACTGGTGGCTAATCTTTCTCCACATTTTATGATCTTCACACAGCTTTGATGCCATACCATGTCCCATCCAGTCAGACACATTGATCCACACTCCCTGTGGGTGCTTTCTGACACCAGTCACTGCAAAACTAGCTTTGGCAATCTTCCTCCACTCATCTGACCCACCCTACCCACATGTCCTGCAAATTCAAGTTTTCTTTATCTGGTCGTCTTAATACCAGGAATCACTCCAGTTAGGCTGTAAATTTGGGTGATTTCCTTCTCTTTAATCATGTGTGAGATATAACTAGTGTGCAGAAATTGCCTGTAGCATATCAGTTTGAAGGCCGAAAGTCTCTTAATGTCTTCTTTCCTTGCTATCCATGTCTCGTCTTTATAGCAAGATACTGAAGATGAGAGACTGCTGCAAGCAATTTCATTTTATATTTCATCCTCACTCATGACACCTTTACATTTAACAACAAATACTTTGTCCAAATGTAGGAACAGCCACGGGTACTAGGATGCCTCCCCAATACCTCCTCCAGTGTACCCCTTTTGGGTCTAAACCCAGCTTGTTCTTCAACCACAATATTAGATGCAATTCTCTTCAGGATAATGTCCGGTAGCATTTTGTTAGGGTATGTCAATAATGAGATTCTGCAGTAATTTCCATTAACAGCGGGGTCCCCTGTTTATATATAGGAACCATCAGGGACTGTGTCGATGGGCCCTCTTCCAAATTCTCAAGTCACATTGACAAGCTTATGGTATGCCTATTGAATATCTCTTCACCACTTTTAATTACAAATAGTTCTGCTTGTACATTATTCACTTCAAGGGCTTTATTACTTTTCAGTGTCTGCATTGCTTCATCAAGTTGTTCAATCATAGGAGGAGGTTCAGCAGGATAAGTCAAGCTTCTGACATAGATCTCTGCCTCACTTCCAACTTAAAATTCTTTTTGCTCATATTATGCAAGTATCAGTTATACTTACCATTTTCACCCAATAAGTGAGGTATTTTTCCTTCAGGGAAACTTTTTGAAAGAGTCTTGATATTTTGGTAGGCCTTTCTTGTGGCATTTGCCACAATAGTGTGATGCACTGTTGTCAAGCTAGATTTTTTGCCTCTTCAATCTTTCTCACATCACACAGAAGTGCTTGCTCTCTTGCTTGCCATTTGATTCATCTTGCTTTGTGCTCTTAGCTTCCTTCATTGATCACGCAACTTGATAATCTTCTCTGTGATCCAAGGCTGCTGCTTTAGGATCTGTTTCCCGAGGTATATGTAATAGAGCACTACATCTCCTATGCATCTGATCTATGTTACCCTTGTAGAGGATCAGCAGCTTGCAGCTTTTGTTCAGTCATCTTGAATTTAATTCTTTCACAGACTTTCAGTTTATCAACATTACAGTCGACTCTGAAGTCACTTGCTAGTTGTTTCTTGCTTCACAATTTGATCTTTATGGTGGCTATTACTAACTTATGATCAGATCTTATGTTAGCCTTCCTGAGGGATTGACTTTCCATCACAACAGAACATCACCTCATCGAGATCATGATGAAGTCTATTTGGTATTGAGTCTGAAAATCTGGCAGTGTCCAAGTCCATCACCATGATGGTTTGTGTTTGAAAAGGGTATTTAGTAATAGTAAGTCATTTACAGTTGCTTATTGCATGAGTTGCAGTCTTCTGCTGTTTGTCTTGCCATACCCAAAATTCCCAACACAGCTGCTCCATTCTGGGTAACTCTTGGGACCACTGCATGCATTGCGCTCACCTCGTACAATTAAGATGTCTCTGAGTTGAACAGATGCTAGCTCCTTCTCAGTGTCACTCTAGAATTTCTCAACCTTGTCATCAGTCGGAGTCACTAGTTGGGATGGGCTGCCAATCTAAAGGTCAACCTGTTGCTGATCCTTCATGAACTGATCAAGGTGAAATTGCTTTGGAGGCGGGATGGTAAAATAGGCCGTAATTCAATTTAAATAACTATTTTTAGTGTGGTGGTGAAGTTCTCACATTATTCCTTGAGGTGCATCCTCAGAGGTAAAAGTTTCTGTTGTGTGCGAGCTTGGCAAATTGGAGCTATGGTTTGATACTATGAGGTCTGACAGTGGAATGGTGTTAAATATAATTAGTTTAATCATCTTCTTATACTGGTGTTCCTGTGAGAACCTATAAATGTACATACTGGAGACTTGAACAGATCTTGACATTTCTAAGTGGACTGAAGGATTAAATGAAGCAGTCTTCTGGACCAAAGCTATTGATTTAAACCTTAACCATTGAGTACCAAGGCGAGAATAAATAAGCCTATATTCATTTTAAATTTTTAGTTTAAGGCAAAATGTCCAGCTTTCCAAAAAAACAAACATTAAACCTTCTTAATCCAGTTCACTTTCTCTGCCTACCTGCATTTGGAATTTGGGGGTAATGTACCATTGTAAGCAACAACATAGATTAATTTTTTGGTTAATATATTTTAATTGGTAGACATGAGAAGTGTCTACTCAAGACTTGATAATGGGAAAGTTACAATAGTAGGAAGAGTATATATTAAAAATCAAACTGTAAATCTGGTTGGTCATATCAAAAAGCCACTAATTCAGGTTTGTTAGAGAACTTGAGTGGTTAATTCCATTGAATTTAAAGTGTTTTTTTGTTTTTTGTATGTGATTTATCTTTCCTCAACTTCTAATCCTTCTGCAGGTATTAGAAGTATTATTTAGGTGCTGTTCGTGCTGCTATAATCAGTTATCAGCATTTCCATTATACATGCCAATTTTCATGGGTTTAGGACTAAGCCTAAAAAATTCAGTCCAGATTTAAACTTGGCAAGCAAGGTGTCAGCCCAGGATTCACTTTTACAACAATATTTTTTAAAAGTAGTTTTATGTTAGAGTTAGTTTAACAGGTTGATAATGCAAATATATTAACTTTTCCCATGCATGCCTGCTGTCTGCATGTGTTCACACTAAAATTAGCAGCTCGAGCAATACTTGAAAATTGACTACAATACATCATCAAAAGCAGCAACTTATTTCTGTAATACAGTTGTGCTAGTATCATAATGTTCTGTACTCTGGACTTGGATTTTGCCAAGACACTTCATATGAATTATCGA